TTTACGTCACATATACTATAGATTTTCAGTACTGGCAGTGAATATCGGAACACGGCCTCAATCTTCAATGCGTAGTCTGATACGGGCTTTAAGGTTATATAAAAGAAAGTTAAGACCGGTATTCATAGTCCGTTCTTACATCGGGTGCTTTCCATTTAGTGACTCAAGTCGACACAAGCATCATTCTATCTTTGTTGTTCACTGGTATTGAAAGAAGATAGAATGATACTTGTGTCGACTTGAGTCACTAAATGGAAAGCACCCGATGTAAGAACGGACTATGAATACCGGTCTTAACTTTCTTTTATATAACCTTAAAGCCCGTATCAGACTACGCATTGAAGATTGAGGCCGTGTTCCGATATTCACTGCCAGTACTGAAAATCTATAGTTTACGTGACATATACTATAGATTTTCAGTACTGGCAGTGAATATCGGAACACGGCCTCAATCTTCAATGCGTAGTCTGATACGGGCTTTAAGGTTATATAAAAGAAAGTTAAGACCGGTATTCATAGTCCGTTCTTACATAGCCAATAACAAGTCTACCTTATTTGGCATCTCTTTTCAATAGCGACTGCGCACACGTCGATTCTTTGCAATGCATTATAGGTTTCGGGATGCTTCTGACTTAACCTTCTTTTATATAACCTTAGTCAGTCCTGTATGTTTTCTCTCTCGCACATATAGAGAGAAAGGGAAAGATGGCCCGCTTCTATCCATTCGGCAAACCTCGTCCCCCTCCGATGCGTATAGACTGCACGCTCTTATGGGAGAGCTGGGTATCGATCATGTAACTTTTTCCTTAGGGCAAAAACGTGAGAAGTGATGGTATTGAAAGAAGATAGAATGATACTTGTGTCGACTTGAGTCACTAAATAGAAAGCATCTATCCAAGATCGTCTTAAGTGTGGTCTTGGGTCGTCTTTGGGCGACAGCACAAGCTTTTCCGTAATGCATTACGGCTGCGTTCCGATATTTACTGCCAGTACTGAAAATATATAGTGCACGTGACGTAAACTATACATTTTCAGTACTGATAGTTAATATTGGAACGCAGCCTATGTTACGTTAAGTACTGATTCTAAACTTAAACTCGTACGTAATCTTAAACTTCAGTCAACGCACAGAGAAAATTGTAACGTAACAAAAGCATACCAAGTTACAATTTTCTTTGTGCGTTGACTGAAGTTTAAGATTACGTACGAGTTTAGGTTTAGAATCAGTATTTAACGTAAGGTAAGTGCCGATCTACAATAGGTGATCTAAGCCCTAAGCCTTAAGAAATTGACCAATCATAATCAAGTATGAGAAGAATACTCGACTGTGATTAGTCAATTTCTTAAGGCTTAGGGCTTAAATCACCTATTGTGGACCGGCACTAATGCATTACGGAAAAGCTTGTGCGGTAACCTATAGGCCGGTATTCATAGTCAGTTCTTATATTTAACACCGTCTTAAGCACAATCTTAAACTGTCCTAAACCAATCACATAGTCGTATTAAGGCTGATTTATTTTTATAAACATACCTATAATATTTAATGGCTTCATGCCTGTAACATTGGTAAGAAATTTTAAATACATAGTTTTGTAACATTTTAATAGAAAGCACATAGAATTTATAATAAATTAAGAATAAATTTCAGGACCACGTGCTACGTGTTTCATTTTTCATTATTGCATAATGGCCTGCAAGATAAGATTGCCCAGATCATTTTATGAAAATTTTGAGGATCTAAGTTGCAATGAATCGAGAAATTAGACAATGCAGTGGAACATTGAGAATTACGGAAAATAAGAATGTAAGACATGCCGAGGATAGTAAGTGCACGATAAACATTTTTGTTCTTTAAATGATTTTATTTTCTTCCACTATGCACAATAAAGACTGTTATTTAAACAAATGTTTACACGTACACGCATACATAGAAAAAAAACATTATAGCTCTATTACAATCTTGATAGATCTTGATAGATTATCCGATTCGACTAAATTCATGTGGAATTGAAGCTTTCGGTTCATACTACCTGTTTGCCTAAGATTATCAATTTCAATGATCATATGAGTCATCATTTGCTACATAAGCTATAAAGCTTTAATGATTTCGATGACACTCATACTGACAGGTTTCTTCTCACTCAGTTCAGCATTCATATCATCACTTTGTAAAAAATTGTTATCGAGCTGATTCTTGAGATTAACAATAAGCTTGTGATCGATATGGAAAACCTAATAATATAACATAAGAAGAAAAAATAGAATACATCAAAAAATATCATATCAATTCATATTAGAGATTCATTAGATTATTTTTTTACTTTAAATTATAAATTGTATAATGCTTACCGTTCACACTGAATCTGATTACTTATAGAATTTCATTAATTATTTCGATTTTTCAATATTTTTACATCTTCCTGAGAGATTAATTTTATTTTTATTAATTTGCTATTTATTGTACTCTATGTAACTTCTTCAAAATATATCATTAAAGGCATTGGAGCTGATCGCAACTTTATTGTATTTATTTTCGCTATTTTTGTACCTGTAAAATTCAATACTTAGATATACAGGGTGATTCAAAACAACCTTCTGTCCTTACAATGTCATATACTTGACTCAATTTTAAGACGATTTTTTCTTTGCCAAAATTTTTTCCGAGGCTTAGTTTTCAAATTATAAGCCAAAATAGTTAACGAATTACGGGTTGCGTACGCGAGGCAGGCAGGGGCGGCGCAACTCACCGTCCGATGCTGGTGATTACGTGAAGCGCTCGCTGCGATCAACTGTTTGCTACATGCGATGGGGTGTATGTGTGAGAGAGAACGCGTATACGCGTATACACACACATTCACATTCTCTCTCTCTCTCCCTTTCTCTCTCTCTTTTTCTCTCTCTCTTACACCCATCGCGTGTAGCAAACAGCTGATCGTGCACACGTTTTCTCTCTCTCTCTCTCTCTCTGTCTTTCTCTGTTATACCCATCG